AGCTCGGAGTTGGCTCAGCAGTTAGAAACACTGTTGCTTTCACAGAAGACCAAAGTTTGGTTCCCAGCACACACATTAGGCAACTCACAACCACCTGTAAGTCCAGCTCCAGAAAATCTGAAGCCCTCTTCTGGCCTCTGAGGGTATTGCTTGCATGCGTGCTCACAGACACAGATACATAAATAAATCATAAAACAAATCTTTGAGTAACCACAAACAACAAAAAAGAGTTTTTTGTCATAAGAGATTCTGACAAAGGAGCAAGCACACATTTCTTCAATACCTTGAGTGTAGCAAGATGTGCTCCCTTTGGCTCCATCTCCATCTGCCCTGAGTCTATTCCTTTTCAGTGTCTTCTCATGCCTCCTTTTCAGTTGATGAGTGGCCTCAGGCCTCCTTCAGCCCCACCAAGGCTCCATTTCTCAGAGCCTTTGGTTCCAATCATGCTAAAGGCCTCAGGAAAGCCCTAAGCAATGGCTTCTCAGTTCTCATTTCCTCATTGTCCATCTCATCACTTTCATCATGTAAGAAGTTACCCCAAAATGTCAAGTTGACAAAAGACATTTCATTTTGCTTATGGTTCTGTGGCTTGGGAAGTCAGAGTCTGACCAGACTATTCTAGCTTAGGGTCTCTCATCCAGTTGCAGCCAGATGTTGATCAGGGCTGCAGCCATCAGAATGATGTCTCAGATGACACACGCCCCTGACAGTTGCTGTTGCCTATTGGCCAGGAGCTCTGCTAGGCCATAGACCAGAACACCTACCTCTAGGTTACTCACAAGCTCAGAGTAGAACCAGACAGGAGCTATATGGCCATTTCTGACTTAGCCTCAGACTAGATCCTGACTTTCCTGAGGAGGAGTAGCAAACATTTTGTGGGTATATTTTAAGCATTCTGTGCCCTATCTTGTATCTGTCCTCCAGCACTTTAGCACATTATTCTTCCAGGGCCACTTTTTATAACAGGATTCTGTTACTTCTGGACTCATCAGGTTCTTTAGGTTGTAGCTGGAAGTGCTTCCTTCTAATTCTTCCAAGATGGAGAGAGACTCATCAGGTCCCACTTTCCTAGCTTACTGCTGTAGGGGACCTGGGTTCTGAATAGACTATGCTATGTGATTTTAGGAAAATAATTTCACTTCTCTGAGCCTTAGTTTCTTCACATGCAAAGGAGGAATTAGGTATAGCTTCACCTCACATTTAGCACTAAAATCAATGATATAAATAGTAAACATATCTTAGTATACAAGGAGTTCCTGACTGGAAGAAATGAACACAAACAAGGTGTTTTCTCTCTGGGAACTTAATTTATCCATCTCTAAAATGGGCATAATAATTTTCCTAATTTGCTTCCCCATGGAAATAGAGGGATTTTTAAGGGTCTGCAGATAAGATTAGACCAGAGGTCAAACATTCCTCAACCTGGACGGAAAGGCCCCCCGGTGTCTCTGCCCAGCTAGGGTAGATGTATGCGTGCAAGGCAGTAGGTGTGGTTCAAGGCAGTACAACACACAAGGCTGGGCTGCTATCTACCCAAAGAGGCCTTATCAGATCCGGGCTGGCCAGGTTCAATCTGAGAAACAAAGAGGCTTTGAGAACCAGACTGGGGTGTGGGACATGGTGCTGAGCCTTGGCAGGTGCAGCCATCAAGGGGCCAGAGGGCATGGGATGGGGGAGCTGCCACCACTGAGGAGGTTTACCTAGACAGAGGCACCCCCTGGAATAGGAAGCAGGGCCTTTGCTCTCCCTCCATTGCTAGAGTTGGCCCTCTTTGGGAGGCTGTACTAGGCATTTTGCACTAGGCCTTTAGCCTTGCCCCTGCCACAGGGTATAGTTTCTACCACACATCCTTAGTTCCCCATCTGACACTTTTAGCTCCAAATATCACTACCTCTAGTCCATGAAGGTGCCTTGAATTTCCCCTCCAGACATCCAGTGGGTCCTAATGAGCCACTCGCCTACCTTTGCCCAAGTAATTCAGGTTCAAACCTTGTTTTTCAATGGGAGGTGCTTATTTCTGGTTCCCTCCATTGAGCCCCAGGTACTGGCAGCAAGACCACGACCTAAAGAGCCATTGCCTTGGGTTTAGCCCTGACCAACACAGGGCCCACTCACTGTCAAAAGTCCTTCATGTGAACTGAGAGCCATGCAGGTCCACTTGGCTTCCAGTGAGCCAAAGAACTGATTTGCTCCCCTTCCTTTTACCTCTCTCCAGCTCTGTTACTATTTGGCATTCTGCCACAGGATAGTAGTACAGAAACTCCCTCCCCAGATGTCAACACCTTGATAGTGCACACCTCAGCTTCCAGAATTGTGAGAAAGAAATATATATTCAGCCAGTCTGTAGTATTCTATATGGCGGAACTAAATTTACTAAGATAGGGGGTGTGCATGCAGAGAAAGCAGGAGCCTAGAGGGTCCCTTGAGCCCAGGCAGACCAGCCCTCAGCAACAAGGAGACAGGATAGCGGTATGGGAAAACTCCAGACATCACCTTTGTAGGGACAGCCACTGAGGCCAAAGAGCCAAGGTCAAGCGTGCTTGGAGTAGACGAGGTGAGTCCTTTGCTTAAAACTCCAAACATGACTTAGGTCCTTTCCTCATTCCCACTGCTCCTCCAACCTTGACTTCCATCTTGGGTTCTGTTGCTTGAGTATCCGTAATCACTCTACTTACCTCTGACCCCATGACCATTTCCCCAGTCCAGGTCACCTACTTTCCCCCAATTAATAGACTCCTTGCTTCCCCTGTTGCCCTCTCTAGTCTACCTTCCATACAGAAGACAGGAGAGCTTTTAGAAACTTACTGGTCATGAGCCCCACCTTGCTTCAAGACTTCCAAGGTCTTCCCCAGGCCTTCAAGACTAGCTGAATTTATGGAACCCAGACCCTGTTGCCTCGCCACCTTGTTTTTTCTCTTTTTGTTTTGTTTTCCATCCCTTGCTCCTCCCTATCTCCCCTTTTCCCCTCCTCCTGTTCCTATTTCCCTCCTTTCCGTCTCCCACTCCCTCTCCCTCTCCTCTGTCCTCCATTATCTGAAAAGCCACCCACTCCATATAGCCATATTCACCTACATTCACACTAAAAAAATAAATAACAAATATTTAAAAAATTAATTTGCGGGGCTGGAGAGATGGCTCAGCAGTTAAGAACACTGGTTGTTCTTGCAGAAGACCCAGGTTTGAATCCCAGCACTCACATGGCAGCTACAGCTGTCCATAACTCCAGTCCCAGGGGATCGAGCGGCCTCTTCTGACCTCCATGGGCATTGCACAACACGGGTACACTTATCTACATGCAGGCAATACATGTATACACATAAAATAAAAATAATAAAAAATTTAAAAAATTAATTGGCGCCAGGCGTAGTGGCTCACGCCTGTAATCCCAGCACTTGGGAGGCAGAGGCAGGCAGATCTCTGTGAGTTCAAGGCCAGACTGGTCTACATAGCGAGTTCCAGGCCAGCTGGGGCTACAGGGAGACCTTGTCTCAAAAAAAGACAAAAAAGTTAATTGGCATAAATATCTAGAATAGTACTTGGCCATAGTCTTCACTAGATGATAGCAGTTACTGTTACTGCCTGTGGGGACTTATGACACAGACTCCAAGGGCAGTGATTGCATGTTATTTTTTAGTCAAGGTCTTACTATTGTAGCCCTGGATGACCTTGAATTTACCGTGTAGACAAGGCTGGCCTAGAATGTTTAGCAATCCTCTTGCCACTGCCTAAGTGCTGGGATTACAGACATGTTCCACCATATCCAGCTAAAGATATTTATTTGTTTAGTTTTGAAACTGGGTCTCAGTTGGTCTGATCTCCAATTCACAACCCTCTTGCCTCAGATTTTCAAGTACTAGGATTATAGGCACGTGCCATCTTGCCCAGCTCAGGAACCTTGATTGATAGCATTTTCCAGTTTCCATGGTGTTCCCTGAACATGGTGGCCTATTTCTCCTCACCTGATCTGTGGTCATACAGGAAAATTTGCCTTAGGATGGTGGGACTGGGAAGTGCAGGGCACCGTTCTGCTTTGGCACCAAACTGGGTCTTTTCCAGACTAAGCGGCACTCTGTAGTAGTATGGTTTAGATATGAAATGTCTGCCCAAGAGGCTCATACGCTGAAAATTTGGCCCCAGATGGTGGCACTAACTTCATAAATGATGAATTCAAAACTGAGTGGACTATGAGGAGGTGGGGTCTACTTGCAGGAAGTAGGTGACTGGAGGCACGCCTTAACCCAGATCCTTCTGCTTTTTGTTTCTCAGATGCCATGAGATGAGGAGCTCTGCTCCACATGCCCTCTCCTCCATAGTGTTCTGTCTCACCTCAGAGCAATGAAGATGGCAGACTTTGAATGAAATCTCTGAAACTGTGAGCCAAAATAAACCCTTTCCTCTTCTGCTTTTCTCCTGGTTTTCAAAAAGCTAACGAATATCCACAGACCATCTGATAGGTTTGGAGTATTTGTAAAAATAAGCTCCCAGGCCTCACACTGGAGCTATATTAAGACAGAATCCTGGAATTAAAGTAGAAAATCTCCTTTAAATAAGTTTCCCAGGTAATTCTGAGGGTTGACAACTGGTAGTTTAGAGACCTCTGACTTCCCCAAGAAGTCAGAGTGGGCCACAGATGAATATGAATTCCATAGACTCTTTTCATACCACTGCCCATTACCAAAAGAAAGAGTCCAAAACTCAGACCCTAGAGGATCAAAGGAAGCAGAATGACCTGAAGGTACAGTAACATGATTCTGGGTGTATGGAGTGATCATATATTAGTTACCTTAGCTCTCTCTCTGCTACAGTCATGTTTAGGGAAAAGCATGTGAAAGCCCTGTCCCATTCACCTCTGCTAGATGAGAAAGGGCCTGCAGAGGGTGGGAACTCTGAGGTTTGCCTTGGAGATAGCACCAAGAAGGAAAGCAAACCCTAGATAATCTGTCCGTCACTCCAGCTAAGCACACATTGGCATCCCCACTCAGCATCCTGGATCCCATGGCTGTAACAACTTAAATAATTTTTATTACAAAAGGAAGGAAAGACCAAAACATTCCCAAAATTCTCCCATGGGTTTCCCCCTCCATGACAATAAATAAGGTGGGGGAGACAGACTGGAGGAGGGGGTGGGGATTGTGGTTCAGCAGAAAAGGGAGCTTAGCCTGAGAAGGGGTGGCAAGGACATCCACGTCTCCTCCCCCAGTCCCAGGTACTATGGTCACATTGACTGGAACAGAGAACTCTGCCCATTGACAGCAACAGACTCAGGATGTGTCTGGAGGAATGTGGCCAGCAGAGAAGGTCATGCCTCAAGATGGCCAGGCTGGCTGTGGCCTTCTCAGTTCTAGGAGGCAGAGTCCAGTCAGGTCCCTGCTGGCTCCCAGAAAATCTAGCAGCATCAACTGAGGTGCAAGCCCACCTGTGGGCAGACTCTCTTCACACTACTGTGTATTACCAGCAGTGAAGTCACAAACCCAGGCCTGGAGAGACACTGGAGTAAGCAGTCTAAAGACAGATGGAATGGATATTCCCATACAGGGAAATGAGGTGTGAAGAATCGCAGTGAGGGCTAGCTGGGTCTCAAAGTCTCCAAGAAAGGAGCACCTACTACACCCTTACCAGCTCAGCTTGCAACTCTACCATTATACCAAGATGGGGGTGGAGTACCCAGCATTGCCTAGTCAAGTCTCAATAGTATCTCCACTCTGGAGCAGAGGACAGGGACCAGTATCCTCAGCTCAGGTGCCTTCCAGGGTCAAAGCCTTCCTGATGAGGAGGCCTTTGGAAATCCAGCATAGCAGTTCTGGAGGGCAGTGGTTAGAGTCCTTTCAGCTTCCTGCCTCAGACATGCCTAGCGGGTGAAAACTGCTGTCTTCTAGCAAGAGATGCCCCAAGCGGTAGAGCAGCTGAGGGTACCAGTGCACACCCTCACTTGGGGTCCAGCTGCACCATGCCAAGCTGTGAAATAGTCGCAGGGGCCAGAAGGCCAACTGAGCCAAGTGGTGGTCAGCCACAGCTGCAAAACAGGAAGCCACCACATCTTCCACCACCAATGTCCCATGCCTTGTGAGTGGAGCATAGGCCCCAAGGGCCACATGTGTAGAAACAGCTGCCACCCGGGCAGGCTGCAGACCTGGCATCCCTGCCACCAGCACATATTGGCCAGGCTGTACATGGCTGGCAAATGTGGCCCGGAAGTGGGCTGCTGGTTCTGTGTAATTGTCAGCAATGAAGAGCAGGTGGGCAGGTGTGAGTGCAAGCCGACGTGGGGGATCCTGAGTCTCGATGACTTGGAAAGCTCTCAGCCTGTCTGGCTCACGGTCCAGAAAAATGAGCACGTCACTGAAGGTAGGATTCCCATCCTCCCCCATGGCCAACACCCGGTCTCCTGGCTTCACGGCTGACAGGGCCACACGTGCCCCATTCTCTAGTCGCACCTGGGCTCCAGCAGGGAAGCAGCCGCCTGTCTTGGCTGCAGCAGAATGCTCTGTAGGAAGAAGGGACATGAAGATGTTACTGCTGAGGAACTCATATTCCCAGGCACAGTACTCTTTACTTAGCTACCTTAGCCCAGAAAGAGCTGCTCTTGCTCCCTGAAAACCCTCCCATCACCATACCCCAGCTTCTGTTTGACTTCCCATGCAGGCTTAACCCACCCCAACCCACACTATGATCTTCTGTCCCTCTGCACCCCAGCCCAACCCCTGACCAATGGTGAAGCTCCTGTCTGTTCACATTGTGATGGTGCTGTGAAAGAGTCAGAGGCTGGAGATCAGCTGAGCCACTGTTCAGTTATGACCCAACCCCAAGAAGGAAGTCACTTAGCTCCTCTGTGGTCTAGAGGGCCTGTTCTACCACTTGCTCAAACACTTCCAAGAAGCTGCCCTCCCAGACTGACATTCCAAGTTCTGGGACAAAGCTGGCCCTTTAAGTATATAGAAGTGAGAGGAAGGCCAGTCCATGGGACAAACATGGGCTCCTGGGGCATCCTCAGAGTGAATGGTCAGGGCTGGGTCAATGACAAGGACAAAAATCATCGTCTTCAGTTCATGTACTTGTCCCTTGTGCAGGGACAGGACACAGTAGCATAAGATGGGATGGAGGACAGTATTTAGGGGTCAGTAGTAGTGAGAAGAAATGGCCACTTGGGGAGCTGACCTTGGGTCAGTGTTATAGGTGAAGCTAGATGTGACTTGAAGTACACCCAGTTGGAAGAGTCAGGCTGTGTCTGGAGGGGCTGGTAAGATCACCCCTGTGAATCTAGGTGGATCAAAACTATCCCAAAGCAGGGCTGGTCTAGTGTGCCAGTCTGTGAGTGTGACTACTATATGGTACCCACATAGAGGGTGAAGCCTGTTGCCAAGTGGGGTGCACACAAGAACTATATGAAGCATTCATGAGTGGACTCAGTGTAAGTGATGGGGACAATGGTGAGACTTGGGGATGGAAGGAGAGGCAAGGCTCCAGAGCCTGCCAGTTCTGATCAACAAGGCGGCCAATCTGGGAAAATCCACTTTATTAAGTCCACTTTGTTTATTTTGGGCTTTACCCCAAAATCTCCAACTTCAGGTGTCTGGGGGAGAGGTTGGGGATGCCTGCACCCCATTGGGAGACCTGACCTGCAGCTGAGTGGTAGGTTCTGAACCTCTGGGGCTGCTGGTCAGGCTTTCTGGTATCTGGATACACTCGCTGCTGGCCCCACCAATGCCTTGTTCTGCCTGGATTGGGGGTGGATGAGGGGTGGGCAGCAGTGGCACATGCCAGCCTGGTTTCCTCCATCTCTTCAACTTGCTCTGTCTTGCACTTCCTGTGGCAGGTTCTGGACTGTGGACCACCATATCAGTACCTAGTGGTACTGGGAAAGCCCTGTCTCCCTAGGCTCCTGCGGTTGACACTACCAGACATTGGAGGAGCAGGTAGTCCAAAGCAGCCCTGGGGAGCGCCGCTGCAGCCGCTGAAATCCTCTTCCCCAGGGTCCCTGCCTCCATCCCCCAGCAGTCATCTTCACCTTCTTGGCCCTAGCAGGTCTTTTGCGGCCTGCCCATGCCCTGCGGTCCCGACCCCTGGCCCAAGCCCCAGGCAGCGGCTCACCAGACTTGACAGAGCAATGCACGTGGGCCTTGGACTCGTAATACACCCAGTCGAAGCCGGCCTCCACTGCCAAGCGTGCCAGCAGTCCATACTTGTTGCGGTCACGGTCTGAGGTGGTGATGTCCACTGCACGGCCCTCATAGTGTAAAGACTCCTCTGAGTGATGGCCATCTTCATCCCAGCCTTCAGTCACTCGCAGCTTCACACCTGGCCACTGGTTCATGACAGAGATGGCCAGCGAGTTCAGGCGGTCCTTGCAGCGCTGTGGGCAATAAAGTGTGTTGAGTTAGGAATAGAAGCCCACCAGGCCCTGGTGACAGCAGCTCCCCCAACTCTATCACAGCACCCACGGGACTTGGGAAACCCAAGACGATCTCTGCCCCTTTTCCTTAGGAATAAAGAACTCTAAATGTGCTCTCCCATTCCAGTAGCCAGGAGACCCCAGGGAACTAGTTGCCACAAATCTGGACAGTACTTGAGCAGCTGGTGTTTGGCTCTGTCTCCCCTGCTTGGCCTTTGGTTTCTCTCTTCGTGAACCAGAGCCCGGTGGTCCTTAGTTTTGCCTAGGCTCTAGAGTGAGTACCCCTAGGAAGGGAGGAGGCTCTAACAATCCACTGCCTGAGGGCTGACCTGCTAGGCATGCAAGGCCAGAGGTGCCCAGTAGGTGTCACCCTAGCCTCAGGGCTGAGGCCCCTGGACACAACCCTTCCTGCAGGGCAGGTGCAGACCCCACAGTAGCATAAGTCAGGGGATGTGTTGTGTTGGAGGGATATCCCAGGCTCACTTGTATCCCCCCAGCAAGTGCCACAACGCATTTTTTCTGGGACCCTCATGATCCCAAGCCTGCCTGCCTTGGCTGGAGATATAGCAGGCAGAGAATCAGTACTCCACCCACTTGACAGGCCCGAGGGTTTCCCTCCGAAAGGGGCACAGGAGCTCTCCCCACTTTCATCAGGGTACATTGACCTTATGTGGGAAGAGACCTGAGAAACTAAGTCTTTGATCTCAGGAAACTGGCTCCATAGCCTCCCGATCTTCAACGCATAGGGTGGGGGTAGAGCTGTGCCCTGGAATAAGGGCTCCAGAGATGATCCGTAGTGGTTGCCTCTCCCTGTGTCCTCGGTCCTTGGAGTCCAAGGGACCATGCAGTTTACTGAGGGAAGGAAGTGGGGTTTTCCACCTGCCGGGTTACGGGGCCCTCCACCAGTCCTGGACACCGATGTGGAAGGGCCCCCGGCCAAGTGTGACAGCCCAAGTCTCAACCTACCTCCGCCCCAAGGAGCCCCGGCCCCACAGACCCTTGGACTCAGGCCTCCCAGGAACCAACAGTGACTATAATCCAAGACCTGGTCCGTCCTCCCGGCCGTGCAACCCGGTTTGGGGGTGCTATTGCCCCCGGAGGTAGCTCCGTGAGCTCATTCCAGATCAGATCCGTGTGGTCCCCCACATAAGCCCGCCCGGAGAACCCAGCTCCCGCCCGTCTCTCCCGTTCTGCCCCCTCCTTCGAGTGCAGAGCCTGGACGCTCGCTGTCAATGATTGCCCAGCCTGTGGCCCGGATCCTTATCTGCATTCCTCGGCGCCCAGCCCGGCCCGGCCACCAGCCAACCTTCGGCCCCGACATCGGCCGGCCGGCCGCGGCGCCAGGGCGCTTGCTTGAAGGCCATGGTTTAGCTGCTCTTCCTAAAGGATTTAGAAAGTCAATCGCCCATTTACAGGGAATGACCGGAGAGTCCCCAGAGGAAAGGACCGTAGGTCTCTCTCCTGGTGCACCAGGCTTCAGGGAAGGAAGTTTGCGACCCTGAGGTCTGGCGGAGCTCAGGTTCTGCTCTGAACATTCAGAGATTCGTGTCAGCTGGGCTCCCCGCCTTCCTAGGCATCCCTTCTCCTATTTCCAGTCCTTCTCATCAATGCCACCAGGCCCAGGGATCCCCCAACTTAGGTCTCGGAGCCCGAAGGCTCCAGCACCCCACCCTTTAACCGCAACCGCGCCGCCGCTCAGCCCTTGCGACAGACACGTGGGCTAGCCCGGCGGGTTCCCCTTTCCTACCTCTGCCTCCACGCTAAACTCTACCCTGCTGTTCCTTAACCCTAGACCCAGTCAGGACACAGCCCCAGAAGGCACAGCAGCGAACCAAGAGCACAAGGGGAGGAAAGGCTCCCCTCGTGCCCGGAGCTTCTTCGCCTCCGGGGCGCCAAATGGCTTTGAAAATGACAAGGGTGCAGCCCTGAGAAATGTTAGGCCAGGAGGGATTGCGTGGGCCCAGGAGGCTCAAGGGGCAGCCACGTCAAGGTACCTTCGGGTGCCGGCTCTGACCTGAGCTGCCAGCATTTCGCCCGCCAACCTGCTGAGCTGTGGGGCTTGGCAGCAGGGAGTTCCTCTCAAAGCCTCCTGGCGTATCCCGGGATGCCAACTCTCCCGCGGGGTTCCCTCACTAGCCGGCCTCGGGCAGAAAGACGGCCGGGCTTGACAAGAGGGGCAGGTGCCAGGGGGCGTGCCAGGCAGTAGAGAAAGGGTGCCAGGCGGGAGGATAGGGCCGGACAGGTGGCGGTGCTTCGATGGCGCGCTGGGAGGATCGATCGCGCTCACCTGGGTCATGAGGCGGTCGGCACCCGTGTTCTCCTCGTCCTTGAAGATGATGTCGGGGTTGTAGTTGGGGGTGAGCTCCTTGAAGCGCTCTGAGCTGCGCGCGATCTTGCCTTCGTAGCGCCCGCTGGCGCCGAGGGTCTTCTCTGGCACGTTTGGGCTGAACTGCTTGTAGGCAAGCGGCACGAGTTTGCGCGGCGGCCGCCGGCGGCTGCCTACCACCCGGCCCGGCCCGCAGCCCCACGCCGCCGGCACCACCACCAGCAGCAGCAGGAGCAGACAGAACCGTAGTCGGGGCCGGAGCCAGGTGGGAGACATGGCCAGGGAGCCCGGGAGAGCTGCGGGCGAGGCGCCTGGTGGGCTGATGGGTGGACGGGTGGGTGGGAGCGCTGCGGGGCCTCAGGCGTCTGGGTGGCTCCTGGGGACTCCAGGCGGGGGCGCCATGGGCAGAGCAGCGCGGCTCAAAGCCGGCGGGACTCAGGTGCGGGGCGGGGGCCTGGGGCCCTGGCTGGTGGCGGCGTGCTGTCCCCCTCGGCGCCTCGACTCTGAGCTGCCCGGCTCGCCGGCAGCCAATAAATAGGCCGGCCCGTTTGTTTTGGCAACGCGGCGGCGGCGGGGGGCGGCGGGCGGCAGGACTGCGGGCCGGCGGGCTGGGCTGGGCTGGCCGGGCCAGTGGGCTGGAGGGACCCGCGGTTAGCACCCCGGCCCGGCGGTCAAGAGGCTCGGGCGGAGCGGGAGCTGCTGCCGTCTGCGGCGCAGCCCGGGGTCGAGTGAGAGGGGAAATGCAAGAGATCCGGGCTCCCCGCGCAGACCGCACCCTATCCCATGTCCCTGCCTCCTGCGCGCCCGACAGCGAACCTGCAGCAAGGGCGGTACAGCCTCCTCCCCCTCGGGCGGGCGGCCCCAGGCTAGCCAGCTCTCGTCCCGCGTACTCCTTGGCCGCGCGTCCGCCCGCCCGCTGCCCTCTGCGCCCCCAGCACTGCTTGCGTTTGTCCTCCACGCCCGGACGTGCCTCACCCCGCCCTGGTCTGGCCTCGCGGCTCCCGGGAGCCCCGCCGGGCGCAAACCTCCTGGACAGGAGCTGCCACCCCCACAGAGACCGCAACCCACGGCGCAACCGGACGCAAGGGGCGGGGGGCAGTGGCCGAACCGCACAGCCGCCTACAGTGTTCCCTGCGGGGAAGCAAACCCTAAGGCAGGAGGCTGCTCACAACCTGGTGCCTCACCCTGACCTAGGCAACATGCCCTTCTCTCAGCTTGGCGGAGCTGGGTTCTGTATTGACCTGATGCATACTCCACAACTCCATACCTGCCCCGTTTGGAACTGGAAGATGGGCAGTGCAGCCTTGTCAAGAGTCAATAGGGGTTTCCAAGTTGGAAACACTGTTAAAATAAGCAAGATAAAATTGCAACGTGATAGGACGAGACTCAGATAAGCAGCTAAAATGGGGACATCCGCAGAGATTGAGGAGCACGGTCTGCGCATGGGCGACAGGCAGCAATGACCCCAGGAGCTGGAGCTGGATAAGAAAGTCAAATGGATCCAAAACCACCTGCATACAGGCACTGCACAGAGATCCCGCTCTTAACACTACTTCTTCACAAAAGAGAGAGCGGCATGTATTGGTAGAGGCGGTTAGGGAAGGGAACATGGGTTGTGTATTTTAATAGGACATTCAGGAAAGCTGAGTGAATTAGAACCTATACTGATCAAACAAGAAGAGGCAAGTGTGTAAACCAAACTGCAACTACAAGGCCAAACTACATGAGTTGGTTTTGCAACATATCACACAAATTCAATAAATTTAAAAATAAGAAGTAAAAGTTTAAAACTTATTATTCCAATATTAATACATCTTACTGGTATGTATGTTTCTGAGACCTAGGGACTATTATTCTCCTGTGTTCTGCTTGTTACCTAATTTAAACCCACATCAGTCAAATGAGCTATTATCATCCCCATTTTAAAATAAGGATATTGAAGTTCAGATAAGAAACTTGCAAGTGACTGAGGAGCAGAGATTTGACCCCTGGGGCTGCTGGAGCCCAGCCCTGACCTAAGTCAAGACATTGACCTTTTTCTCAGTGCAGGTTTCATCTATCCAACACAACTGGGCCTGTGGGATCACTTTTTGTTTTGAGACAGGGTCTCACACTGTCGCCCAGGCTGGTTTGGAACTCACACTGTAGCCCAAGCAGACCTCCAGCTTCAGCCTCCTAAGTGCTGGGATTACAGGCATGAGCCACTATCCCCAGCTTTTTGGCTCAGTTTTGTGAATTCAAATTCAGAATGGGAAAGTACTAAAGAGAGTGCTTAATCCAAGTACTTGGTATTGAAATGGCCCACACAGGGAAATTGAGAAAGAATTTTTGGGAAAGAATTTGGACCATTGGGACTGCCTTGGTTCCTCCCGAGGCCAGCACATCACCCAGCCTCAGCACCCCCCAACCCCCCCAACCCCCGCACCAGCATTCTCACATTAGTATTCAGATTGTTTCCCAGTCATAGATGAGTGCTGCTTCTTTCCTTTGAAATCTTTCCAAGAGTTTTAACTTGTATTTTCCAGGTTTCAAGAACGAGTCCTGCAATATTCTTATCCCTTCCCCTCTATACCCTTTAAATTTCAGGGGCAGACAACTCAGCAAGTCAGTACTTTCCAAACCAAACAGAGGCTCTCTGGTTTTATGGAGTTCCCAAAAGGAAACCCCATAGACTTTCTTCTTATCTTTCCCATTGTTTGATGTAATCTTTAATTTCTTTTTCATTTGTTTAAGGCACGGTCTCCCTGTAGCCCCAGCAGGCCTGGAACTCACTATGTAGAACAGGCTGGCCTCAAGCTCACAGAGATCTACCTGTATCTGCCTCCTGAGTGCTGGGACTTAAAGGTATGTGTCACCATCCCAGACTGTTTCCCCGCCCCCACCCCCGACACAGGGAGAAATGGGGGGAGGGATATGTTCATATTTCATAGTATACATGTATGAACAAATTTTTTAAAAAGCATTCTTTCTGAAGTTCTAGTGTGTTGGCTTTGCCATTTGTCCTCTCATTTCTTTTAAACTGTGATTCTTATCCTTTTGTATACAAGTTGGTAAAGGTCCAGCTAGTGGCAAATAACATCTACTTAGGCAGTGGAGCTATGCTGGGCATCAGGTATGCTTCTGCAGAGCGCTGCCTCCTTAGCTGAGCTTGGGCTTCACTAAGACTCAGTGCTCCTCGGCCAGGCTGATCATTTAGTGCAGTGACTGAAGATGTGTGCACTGCCAGAAGCACATGGTAGAGGTCACATGTCCCAAATCTTTGCTTTACCTTACTAGTAAAATCTCCACAATTACTTCTCTGTCCCTCTATGCACAGATTGTTGGGTTTTATTGTTGTTGTTGTTGGTGGTGGTGATGATGGTGTGTGTGTGTGGTGTGTAAGGATTGAACCCAGGTCCTCACATGCTGAGCACCTGCTAAGCTCTACTACGAGCTGCATGCTTAGTCCCAGGCCCTGCAATCATTACTCTCATTTTACAAATCTACAACTCTAAGCTTTAGAAGTAAGTTGCCAGTGATTACTTGTTAAGCTACACTTAATTTTTTTTTTTTCGGTCTTTTTGAGACAGGGTCTCCCTGTAGCCCCAGCTGTCCTGGAACTCACTATATAGACCAGGCTGGCCTTGAACTCACAGAGATCCGCCTGCCTCTGCCTCCCGAGTGCTGGGATTAAAGGCGTGCACCACCACACCCGGCCTACACTTAAATTTTGAACCCAAAGAATTTGAAGTTGGGTGGGGTTGTGTACTTGGGAGGCAGAGGCAGGTAGATCAAGGTCAGCCTGATCTACATAGTGAGTTCCAGGCCATCTAGGGTTACATAGTGAAATTCTGTCAAGAGGGAAAGAGAAAGGAAGGGGGGATAGAGAGTTGTTTATATTGAAAACAAGAAGAGGAAAGAGAGAGATAGAGAGAGAGAGAGAGAGAGAGAGAGAGAGAGAGAGAGAGGAGAAGGGGGGGTTGGAGAACTTTTATACTCCAAAGCTGTGCTCTTCTCTCAGGACATAATGGTGCTTCAAGATCTGATTCTTGAGCCAGGTGTGGTGACACATGCTCATAAACTTAGCACTTGGAAAGTGGAAACAAGAGGATCAATAGTTCAAGGTCATCTTTACTTAAACAGCAAGGGGCCAGCCTGGACTATATGAGATCCTGTCCCAAACAAATAAACAAAAGACCTGAACCTTAAATATGAATTAGTAGCCAGTCCAATTGTCTTCATGAGAAGAAGGTGGGCAGGCAGGGGAATGCAGGTGAATCAAAAGCATCATTTCTATAGTGTGTCTGGTATGGTGGTACATACATGTAATGGCTGCATTTAGGAAGTGGAAACAGGAGGATCCAGAGTTCAAGGATAGCCTGGGTTATATAGGTGAGATTCAGTCTTGAAAAAAAAGGAAAGAAGGGGGGAAGGAAGGAAGGAAATCAAACATTATTTTAGGGGTGGCGATATAGCTCAGTAATAGAGTGCTTGCCTAGGCCATGTTTGAACCTTTAAGTTCATTCCACAATATAACAACATGGAAGGGAAGGGGGACCACAGGAGGAAGGTAGTTTTTAGTGCTGGGTATACAGCTTAGTAGAATATTTGCCAGCATTCATAAGGCCTTCAGTCCAATCTCCAGCACTGGAAGAAAAAAAAAAAAAAAGGATTTCTCTAGCAGTGACCTGGAACACTTTTTATTTGATTTTTTGTTTTGTTTTTATTTTTGTTTCTGTTTTTGAGACAAGGTCTCACTATGTAGCCTAGCCTGGCCTTGAATTGGCAATCCTCTTGCCTCCTCTGTGCTAAGACTGCAGGCACCATACCTGACAACCTGGAGCACTTTGAATTCAAGTCAGAGCCTTAAGAACTTAGATCATTTCTTGGCTGCCTGTGTTCTTAGCTGCTCAGTAGATGCAGGGTGGCTTCTGAACGGGGCCAGTTCTGAACCTTATTAAACAAAGCTTGACAGTTTTTCTGATCACTGCCAGGCTGCCAGCATTAAAACTGGATAACTGAGATATGCCACTCTGGAGGCACCAATGGTCTGGACATCTCAACCTCATCCTCAGGACTGAACAGCAGTGACAGCCTCGTCAGGGAACGGCACACATGAGTCCTGAGCTTTCTGGCAAAGCTGCTTTCTTCTTTCACCTTTAGATCTCATCTACCCCTCAGTCACCTCTATTTTGGAAAAGAACAAATAAAAAGCTATTGCTTCAGAAATATCACTTTTTTCTTGTCTGTAAAAGCAAAAGTGAGAAAAACAGGTTGTAAAAGGATTGAAGGGGCTGGGGAGATGGATCAGTGTGTAAAGACACTTACTGCCAAGCCTGACAAACTGAATTTAATCTGTGGGATCCACAAGATAAAAGGAGAGAACTGACTCCCACAAGTTGTCCTCTAACTTCTACATATATACATGTACCATGGCATGTATAGACACATACATACACACACACACATAATAAAAATGTTTTTTAAAAAAGAATTGGAGGTCTGAAGAGATGGCTCAGTAGTTAAGAGCACTGGCTTCTCTTGCAGAGAACTCTGGTTCAGTTCTCAGCACCCACATGATGGCTAACAACCATCCTTAACTCCAGTTCCAGGGACTCTGATGCCCTCTTCTGACCTCTGTAGGCAGTGCACAACTTGGGTGCACTTACATTCATGCAGGCAATACATTTATACACATAAAATAAAATAAAAATATTAATTTTTTTAAAGGATTGGAAAATATATCATAGAACCTGATAACTTAAATATGTTTAGTAGACCATCATGTTGGCATTTTTAGTAAATCTGAGTTTTAATATTATAGTACAAATATAATGTATTTATAGAATATGATATAGTCATATATATATGCATATAATATATATTCATATCCACATAGGAACTGCATAGGATCCATATTGCTAAAGTAGTATTTTCCTCCAATTCTGCCACTTGACTAGGTTAATCCAGCTACAAACTCAATGGTGCTGGGCCACAACCAGAGAAGTTTCAGGAACGCAATTAGTCAAATGTCCTTCAGTGACTCAGTGCACAGCAGCTCTGACCCAGTAGAAACAGCACTAGACCAGGAGGTGGCAGAACATTGTCTTTGCTACCTTCCACCTGTGCGACCTTTCTGAATTTCAGTCTTCTCATTCATAAATGAGAATAATGCCAGGCATGGTGCTACATGCCTGCAATCTCAGCACTTGGGAAATTAAGGCAAGAGAATCATGGATTCCAGCTATTGACATTGGAAGAGCCTGCCTCAACAAACAAACAAACAAGCAAACAAACAACAAACCTCCTACCTCATAGAGTTGTAGGCTGAAAAACATAAACAATCAAGGACAAATGTTCTGTGTAAGTTGGTTCTATCGTCCGCTGGATTTACTAGGATGGTAGTAGTCCTCTGGCTCCCATGATCTGCCTAGGGGGTAGGGGGATGTACTTGAGGGTGCTTGGTTATGTGTGCCCTGGACAGCAGTGGACATGAATAGACCCTGTATATTTCTTTATTTAACCAGTTGTGTGCGTGTGGGTGTGCCATGGAGTGCATGTGGCAATCAGAGGACAATCTTAAGCATTGGTCCTTGCCTTCCACCTTATTTGGGTCAGGGTCTCTTGGGGGTATACCAGGCTAGATGGCTTGTAAGCTTCCAGGGATTCTTCAGGCTCCACTTCCCATCTCCTTGTAGGAACACTGGGATTACAGGTATGTGCTACCTAACCCAACTTTATGTGGGTTCTAAAGATTCAAACTCAGATCTTCGTGCTTGTGTGGCAAGCACTTTACTCACTGAGCTATCTCCCAGCACCCGGCCCTGCATCTTTCTGTTAGGGAGCATCTACCTGGACACAGTAGTATAACAGGCATGTAGGAAAAGAGAATGCAAATGGAAAAGCAGAAGATGCAGTTTTTGTCCTCAGACATTTACTATTTCATCCCCCACCCCAGATACGCCATTACAATGAAAGGAAATTACAAAACTATGAATGCCACTCATAAATGAGCACAGAGGAGTGCTTTCTAAAGCAGACAGATTAACAGATAAAATGAACTTGATCTAGGCGAATATAGAATTAAGAAACAATTAGCCCAGGACTAGAAACCTCTTGATCCAAGAGATCTGCCTACTTGTGCTTCCTGAATGCTGGGATTAAAGGCATCACTACCACATCTGGCTTGAAAAAAAAAATCAGTTTTTTAATGAAGGAGAGGAAGGAATGACTGCAATGAAGGAAAAAGGTACTTGGGAAAAGGTGTGGGACAAACGAAATGATAGTCCTAGCAAGGTTGAAGAGCCAAGTGGCATGACCACTAGGTCAAGGGGGTCCTAATGCCATTGCATCAACCTTCACAAAAGGCTTAGGAAAGTTGACACCATTATCTTAATTGTACAGATGAGGAAACCATTCACAAAAGGTGCAAGGCTGGCTCAGAGCTTGCACATGAGGGAATGGGAGTTGGAATCCAGACCTGTGTGACTCCACAATGACATGCTTTCTTGGTGAGTGACTCCCAGGGCAAACATGCTAGGTTACTGACCTCTATTCAAGTCAATCATTTTCTCTGTGAAATCTAGGGAACTGTTTTTTCCTTTCAAGAGTTGTTACCTCTTAGGCTTTTAAGCCCTCTATTTCCCCAACTGGTTGGGATCACTTTGACTTCTATTGTTGATATTTTAAAGAGGTTAGAAACTCTACCAAAAAAGACCCATATGGAAGAGGTATGCTTCTCTTTCAACTTTCAGATCAGACCAGAACACATTTAGAGATCCAATTAGGGCCACTCAAAACGAACAATTGATTGGAAATGGGAATGTCAAGTTACTTTTGGCCAAACAATAAGCTCATTACAAGGCACTTCAGAGAGACCCAGGCATTAAAGACCTTGCTTTGATGACTTTGAAAATGTAAGGAAAGGCAGAAGAATTAGTTACAAAGAGTGTTTACCCCTCAAATCAAAGATGATGATGGCAGGAAATTCATCTTATAAAGAGACATTTGCAGATTGCAGATAGACATACATATAAATACATTTCTGACACCTACAGTCTCACCTACTCAGGAGGCTGAGGCAGAACAACAGAAAGTTGCCAGCCAATGAGACCCCATCTCAAAAGAAAAAGAAGAAAGGATTGATATAGTTCAGTGGTAGAGTGTTTGCCTAGCATGTGCAAGTCCCTTGTTCAATCCCCAGTATCACAAAAATCAAAGAAGTGGAGGGGGGAGTAGGGGAACCGAGAGGGTAATGGGAGGCATGTGAAAGAAAAGCCAGGTGGGAGGAAATGTTCGGGGAGACACATAGACTATTTTCCAGGAGGAAGGAGACCAGCAAGAGATGAGAAGGTGGGACAGTGGGGAGGGGAAAGAATAAGAACAAAATGCAATGACATGTATGTATGAAAATGCCATAATGAGCTGGGCATGGTGGCACATATCTTTAATCCTAGCACTTGGGAGGCAGAGGCAGGCAAATCTCTCTGAGCTTGAGACCAGCCTGGTCCACATAATGAGTTCCAGGCCAGCTGGGGCTACAGGGCTACAGGGAGACTGTGTCTCAAAAAGACAAAAAAATAAATAAAAAGAGAAAAGAAAATGCCATGATGAAACCCATTACTTTGTTTGCTAACTTTAAAAACTGATTTACAAACATATTTCTGTATATGAACCACAACATGTTTACTAATGAGCTTTATGTGTCTCTATTTAGAATTATTTGCTTAAGAGAAAAAACTTGGAAAATACTCATCCAGTGAATGTTCAGAAAGGGGTAGCACTCTTCTGTAAACATGGGATTCTCTTGACGTGCCTGTCAGTTCTCTGTAGATAGATTTATACTCATCCACCTACACTCTGACCCATGTCCTCCCGGTAAAGGATCCTGAGGGTATAAGGACAACAAGAGCAAGAATGCACATATCCATGTGCTTTCTAATTACTAATAGTCTTAGTTCCTATGAATTGACAGTCACTCCACCACACTCATAGCTAATACAAAATATTCAGCCTCCATTCCCACTCTACATCAGATTGCCCCAAATACAGACTACACTGGCTTATGTCCACAAACTTATAAAACATTCCTAAGATCCTACTGATGTGAAAATGGGCATGTATGTGAATCTTCATTTATTCACTCAACCAAAAAAGGTTTATTTAATGTATAATTTGTCTAAGTGATTGGGATGTGAGGGAAGAAAAAAGTTATTACATATTATGTGTGTGTGTGTGTGTGTGTGTGTGTGTGTGTGTGTGTGTGTCTACTACAGTGCGCATGTGGGGGTCAGAGAGGACAACTTGCAGGAGTCTATCCTCTCCTTCTACCACATGGGTCCTGGAAATCAAACTCATCAGGCTTGGTGGCAATTGCCTTTACCTGTTGAGCCATCTCACAGTTCTGGAACAAAAAAAAATTTAAAAACATGAAATCTGGCCCTTTTGGAGCTTTATTCTAGTGGGAGGAGTTGGGGAGACAGATAATTAAAAGCAAGTGAAGAATATACATTGTGTTAGAAAAAAGTTGAGGACTATGAGCAAAATTCTTTAGCCAGGGCTAAAGAATTGAGGGTCAGTCAGCCAGTTTATGGGAAGTAGGGGGAGGGTTGGCAGGCTGCTTGCTCCATTACATAGACTCATCAGTGTAGATCTTATTGGAAAGGGGCAACTGGAAAGGGGCATTAAAAGAAGTGAAGGTTTCACTCAAGCACAAATCTAGGGAAGGAGCATTCTAAATAGACAGAATAACTTGGAATGAGGCCCGGACATGTCCAACAGGCCCCTGACAGAGCAGAGATCCTTGTGATTGAGGAAGATAAAACATTGGAAGACTTGGTGTGTGAGTTTGACTTTCTTTTTGATCAAGGGTAGTTTTCTCTTCTCTTCCTCCTCCTCCTTAAAAAGCAATTTATTTATTTAATACTTTATTATTTTTATGTGTACAAGTGTATTGCCTGTATGTACGTAAGTGCACCCATGTTGTGCAATGCCTATCCTTTAAATATCTACTTTGGGGGATGGAGAGATGGCTCAGTGGAGGTCAGATGAGGGCCTCAGATCCCCCCTGGAACTGCAGTTATGGATGGTTGTTAGCCACAATGTGAATGCTGGGAATCAAACCCGGTCTTCTGCAAGAGCAACCAGTACTCTTTAACCACTGAGCCATCTCTCCAGTTCCCTAAAAAAAGCAATTTTATTGTCAAAGATCCCACTTTACTCACCTCCCC